GCAGAGAAACCACTGGACTCTGAAGATCAATCTGCAGATTTGCATGGTTATAGATGCAATCAGTAGCCTGACCGGGTATTTGGATCACCTGTCACCCATGTGACTCCTGGATTCAATAGATTTTTTTCCAGAATAAACTTGTGTTACATTTTAAACAACTAAGAGCATTTTATTACTGATTAGAGCTATGGTCTTTGATTTGAGTTGATATTTACAAGGAATGAAATTGATAACATGAGAAATAAAACGTACCTAAGAGCAGAACAATTTGTTGTGCTTCTTGGATAAAGGAAATGCTGTTTTGGTCTGTCAAATAACAGCTAGTTTGGATTCTGGTCTGAGATAGAGAAAGTAAGACAAGATGAGATGGAGAATGAGAATGAGGTCCTACATAATGACAATATTTTCCAGTCGTTAGAAATGCATCTGGTTGTCTTAGCCATCTGTTGTTGTCTACTTTCACTGCGGGATGGTGTGCCTATTCCCTTTGTTCTATGATGGATAAGTCTGGTTCAGATTGCAATCTAATCAATCGTCAACAGATGTTAGTCATCATCTTCATCTGTCTAATCACACAACATCAGACTCACTTGTTGGTGTCTTTAAGGATTCTAGTGAGGAATGTTGGTCTGGTTGTTTTGATAATTCTATGTGTGATGGAGCTGTGATCAGAGGCGAATGGTGAGTTCTGATGTTCTCTTAATCTGGTGAGAGGATCTACTTAAATACTTACCAGGATGCCATGTGATCCTTCTTGCTGGCTTTGCCATTGTAGTTTTCCTTGGTGACTGGTTGTTGGTGGCTTTGATCCCAAGGACTGTGGCAGCTTGTTTCACTGCTTGGTTCTGAAACAAAATGGCTGATGTAAGTCTCATGTCAGGTATGTCCTGAGTGCTGCATGAATCAGGTTACTTTGGGCTGTCTCATCACCTGTTTGGTTACTGTTTCAGTCTGGGTGGGATTATTCTGACAACTTGTGCCATGCTTGTGAGCTGTGAGCTCATTTCCATTTTTATTGATCTAAAAACAAAAGAAAATTGAGCAAAAAACAATATATTAGGCCAGTTCACGTTGCTGCTTGTTCACAAATATAATTTCTGCAACAAGCAACACTTAACAACATCTCACTTAAAGTTTTGGTGAAGTCCCACGCACAACATAAGCAAACAGTTAAAGCAATGAGCAGTGCAACTTTACAGACTTGTCAATAAAAACACCCTATGTGAACTGGGCTGTTGGGACTGGGGGGATGAGATTTTTACCAGAAGAAAAAGCAGATTGAGCCCTTTGATGATTTGGCTCTGGCCCAGGGATTTAGCTGCTATGGGGTGGTATTGAAGGCAATTTGAAGAGAATCTCAACAGCCAAAGTGATGTCATTCCTTTCCCAGACAAAAATCAGACATTATACACTGCAAGCCCCTTCCTGAAGCCATAGCAAGCTTTGCTTGGCCTCCAAGACCCAGGCAAGGGGATTGGATAAGCTAAATATGTGCCACTGAATGAGGAATGCTCCAAAGCTGGTAAGGCATTGATTTGTTCAAAAAAAATAATTTTGTCATCAAACTTAACCCAAGTCTTGCTGTGGAGCATGCATCTGGCAGTGTAGCACTGTCCAGGTGGTTCCCAAAGGGAACTCCCTGCAGCAGTGTAGAAAGACCAATCAAAGTCATATATAGTACAAAATAGCTAGTTATAGTAGTTTCCATCATATTACAATCAGATATACATATGCTACATAATAATTTATCTTGTATCCAGTTCAGAACATTACAAAATAGTATTTTTACACACAATTTGGTTACATAATATATAGTACTACATAGCTACAACATACTACATACCACGCACCTCAGGATACAAATCAGTCTTCCCTCAGTACCTTCTTTCTATGATAATAATCTTTCAGTAAATGTTATTTATTTCATCTCAGATATCACTTCACTACAAGAAAAAGTCAAGCAACTGTCAGCAGTTGACATGCAGCAAGCTTCAATCACGCCTCAATGCAAGCTCAGGTCATTGTGCTGATGTAATTTGGTGGTACAACCTGAGACTTCAAAGGGGTGGACCAAAACAAGGTACAACAAAAGTGTGAGTTTAACTTAATCTCAGTGCTGAGTATGGTCTGAGCTCTTGCATGTCAACTGACACCAGTTGCTTGACTTTCTCTTGTAGTGCTTATTCAGACTACATATATTGTTTCATCCCATACATCTGCTTCCTCATCCCAGATATTGTCATCTCATCTCATCTCACTCATCATCTTCTTTTTTTCATACAACATTTATTTCATACAAAAATTATTTCATACTACAATTATTTCATAGTAAATTTATTTCATACTACATTTATTTTATTCTACATTTATTTCATACTACAATTCTTTCATA